ACTGCCGAGAATAAGTCTCTAAATGTAGGCCAGGAAAGATCCGTCTCGAAGGAACAATGTTTGCGTTGCAAAATGAAAGAAAAAGAAAATAAAACACAATATTTAGAATTTTATTTCAATGCAGTCTTCGACTGATATTTTATTGAATAATTGTTCGTGAAACAATTAAAATTACCTTTTTACAGGATGTTTGGGTTTTGATGATTTTCGGTCGTGAACCAATGAGCGAGTAATCTTAGCGAATTAAAAAAAGCTAAGATGTCGTAAAGCGGGGTTTAAAAGCTACTCGTTACATTTTGTTACTACATTTGTCTTTGTCTACGAAATAAACAAAGACGTATAAATGAGTAGTGGACAAAATGAAACGAAGGGATAAAAAAGGACCCGTAAGGAAATTTTAAATTAAATAAATCACAATTACTTTGAAAATATATAGACAGAAACCTTTTTCTACTAAGAATGAAATTATCCATGTAGATACATATGTAATGAAAGGATTTCACTTTTTGACAGTAATCGATAAATTTTCTAAATTTGGCGCAGCTTATCCATTGAATGACAGAAATACTATAACTATTACAGAAAAATTAGAGGAACATTTCACTAGAATAGTAAACCAAAGAAAATAGCAGCGGACAATGAATTCAATTCTATTAGACTAAAATAATTTCTACAAAATGAAAACATAGCTTTACATCTTACTAAACCCAATAGCCATACAGGAAATGCGGATGTAGAACGTCTACATAATACAATAGCAGAAAAATTTAGAATTTTATATAAACTAAATAAAGAAACACCAGTAAAACAAATTATCCAGAAAGCAGTTAGGAATTATAATAAAAGATATCATTCAACTACAATATATTCACCTAAAGAGATTCAACAGGATGAAATCGATGAGAATAACAAAAGCAATTGACAAACTTAACAAGTCTAGAGAAGAATATACCGAAAATAGATAAGAAGGTTATATCAAAAATTACAAGGCTCTTAGGCACAAAGAACAACCCAAATAGAATCAAAATTAGATAACATTCACCTTTGTAACATCAAACGACCATTCAAATTGCAGGTTTGGATAATATTGATGATAATGATCCTGATAACAACAGCGACCCAAGCAACAATGACGACGAGGCATCTGATTGAACAATTGAACAATTTAGAGCGTAGAACAAATGACAGAAAACATAATTTTATCAAAAATCAGAAATAAGGAAATGTTACAATTAGAATTAATATAAATTAAAAGTAAACTAATGATTCTAATTCCAAGACCACGAGACGAGGACTAATAAATGGAGTAGGAAAATTATCAAAGTGGTTATTTGGCACAATGGATGACGAAGACAGACAAACTATACAGAATAAATTATTCAATATTAATGATATGAGAAAACAATAACCAACAAATTATTATAAATGACTTTTTTAACTTGACGTTGACTCATTTGAAAACAGTAATAAATCATGATCGTATACTTATAGAAAGAGAATTAAATTCGATAAATAAATATTTAAATGAGGAAAATAAAAAACAGCTTTTCTAGAACAGTTAACCAATACTCAACTTATAAAAAATAAATTGGAACAAATTCAGGACAATATAATATCTGCTAAATATGGTTTAGTACATCCCAGCATTCTGACAACTGATGAAATAACGAAGTACGAAATTGACTATCATAAAATTAAATACATACAGACAGGGACAGCAAAAAAATAATAAAAATGCTTACACAACAGCTAATAAGAATATTCTAAATATCAAAACAATTTTTGGCGGTTCAGCTACCATAATCTTAGGGTATAGGTCAGCGCCAAGTAGCAAATCTATAGGATTGTCATCGAAAGAATCCGCTAATTCAGGAGATCAGGAATTCAAGTCTTTAAATTACAAGTAGATGGTGACGAGAACAACTTTCCTTTGACCTTAGGCAACACTAACGCTTCTGTTTCCACAATTCTAGATGCGTTTTTAGGGGGAGACAACTTAAGAGAACAGACTTCTATCGGCGATGTAGATTTAGATTTGGCGCTCAATATCGGATAGACGTGAATTTTGTACAAAAAATGTTGCAAAAAAAGTCGCGAAAGGTGGGCCAGACATAAAATCACCAGCAAAGACTTCGATATCAATAGGTGGTACTACGAAACAACGACTATCGAAGGGTGGATTGGAGCAACTATTATTGGGAGAAGATTTGGAGAAAACATCAACGGGTGGAGAAACAGACTGCACAGGAACCGATAAGATAGGTTCGCTTGAAAGCAAGCCTGAAAGTGGTGTCACATTAAGTGAAATAGTGGAGTTTTCAGGAGGTAAGGACTGAGGAGCCCCAGCAGGGGAACAATTATCACTGATTGGAGATTGTAGGCGGTCAAGGTGCTTTTTTATGTTGGTCAAACACCAATGGTATGCAATAAATGCATTATCGTATTCATCCTCAACAACATCAAAATGGTCAGCCTGTGCAGTCCCGGATGCCGTGAGGTAGTTTTTACAATCAGTGTAAGTGTTCAGAACCTTTTCCCAAAATTCCCGAATTTCCGAAAGACGAAATTCGAGACTATAAACCGTGAACTTCGTGGCATCAATATGTTCGAAAAATTTTACACTCCGCAGAACAATATAAGCGGCCCTAGAAAAACGTGTGAGCGAAGTGATCGACATTTGGTTAATATATTTATAACAAAAAACAGTGCAAACTATATGCAGAAGAAATAAAATTCGAACAAATGTTGCTAAAGTCCAAAAAAATAAGAAATTTTCACAAATAAAAACCTCCAAATACTTCAAGAAATTATAGATGTTGAAGTTATAGCAGTGTTAAATAAGAGAAAATTTAAGAAAAACTTTTCCCATGTGAAGAATTTTACTAAAATTGCTCCAATATCAACAGATTAAAAAATAAATGATTGATTTGGCGATGCAAATTGTATGGTATTTTTCCAAAATTTATGTCAAATTTCTAACAATTTTTAGATGAGTATGATATTTTTTCAAAGATTTACAAAAATCCTGCAAAATTAGGTATCTCTACAAAATACTTGAAAATGGTAAATACCGAAACCCTACTGAGAGTCCAAATATTACAAACAACTATTAAATAATTTTCCCAAACAATTACAAGAATAGCCACAAAACGAAAAGTTTTAACGAATGTATTTTGCTGAAATTTGAGCAAAGAATGCCGAATATAGGGTGAATTTGTTCAAAAATTCCAAAAACCCCACTACCACTTGATAATATTTTAATAAATTATCAAAAATAGTTTCTAAAATGAATTGCAAAAATTCACAATTTTTACTGTTTTACCCCGCTGTGCCAAACCAACAACGCATATCGCACAAAGAGGAATAAAACTCAAGCGACGTCGGCAGAGAAATGACTATGCGTAAGCAGCTACGCACCCACACAACAAGCGACGCCACAAACGATCCAACAGTGAAAGTTGGAGATCAAAACAATTTGTTGTTATTTTTACTGTATATCAAACCAACGCTAACGCAAGCCACACATGATACAACCGTTGTTACAACTTAGAGGGTAGCAAAGTTCTATGCTTCGGCCACAAACGATACAACGTTGTGTGCAACCTCCTTGTACAACTTCACTTTTCATAGATTTTATTCAAGTTAAGATGGCACCGGAAAAAATTCATGTTCAATAATTGGCTCAATAGCCTTTATTTCATATTAATTTTTTAAATTCCATTTTATAAATTAAAATTCAATTTTATATGTACATTAAAATCACACATTTGATTGGATTTCGTGTTGTTTTGATGTGCGAAGCAATGGTGTTGCCTCTTCGTAAATAAACACAAAATGAAATTGTATGCGACATGCCCATTAACTCTACAATCGATTGGTACAAAAATTGGTATCAAAAATTTTTGATTTTTCGTAAAACCGAGACACAACTTTGTACAACCGGGCCACAAGTTCAAATTGTACAACCAGTTGTATCGCGTGTGTCATCTTAACACAAATAAGCTCTACGAAAAGTAAATGTGTACAAAGAATTTGTACACTAAGTAGTATAGTTTGTGACAAAAACATACAATTTGAGAACTCTCCAAGTTGTACAACCAGTTGTATAGTGTGTGGCAACAGGTAACCGCATCGGCGAATCGCTACAACAAAGCAACTTTTGTGGTCCCCTCAAATGTCAAAATTGGCATCTAAGGCGAAAAACACAGATTCGCCATGACATTTAAAGGTTGCGGCAAATTTTTTTCAACCAATCAGAAACGAGGTGTTTGTTTACATTTTATTTTGTGTGCCTCTCGTCGTAAACGAACGTCGCAATAAAAGTTTTTATTGTAAAACAAATAAGAGTGAAATAAGTATTAATTGTAGTATTGCGATATTTTTAAACCAAGAAAATTATAATGACTAAATTTAACTGGTTTAAACCGAAAGTTTTCCGGAACTGCAAATGACAAGAGTCGAATTCTTGCACTATTTCCCGTGATGTGCTTTGGGAATCTTAGATGTTGAGGCTAACTTTATTCTTAAAGCTGCACTCCATTATAACCTTCTTCCTTCATTTTCTTTTAATTTTTTTACTGGTTTCACTCTTAACTTGCTCTTAAATTATTTGAAATATTATAAAAAGGTATTTTTATGGAAGACAACATAAACAAATTTGTTGTTGCATTCATTTAGGGCGAATTCTTCATTACAACAATTTGTTTTGACATTTACAGCCTGTTCCACGATCTCGAAAGAAAATTTGTGCGAACGAAGGCTACTCACTCACTTTCGTATAAGAATGCGTTCCACTAACTTTCGTTCTTTCTTTCGCATAGCCTTACGTGATTCAGTGTTGCTAAATATTTTTTTGGAAAAATTAATCGCGAAATAAAGCAAAAAAGCGTCAAATGTCTAATTTAAACGCGAAAAAGCAGCAGTGGCTCTGTCTCAACTGACATTTCAGTTGTAAACAAACAAATTGTAAATAAACAAACAAAATAAAATTTCTAGTGATTGTGTTCAAACTATTTGTGCTCTTAGAAAATAAAAAAAAGAATATTTCCGTAGCCCTATTTTTTATGGAGGAGGTTCGAAATGTGCCACGGAGGAATTTAAGAGATGCTTCGAATTTATTTGAAGTACCTAACAACCAGTAAGTATGATTGTATTTTTACATTTTTGAAATAATAAAAAATGATTTTTTCTAGGTTTGTGGCCAACTTTCGTGTGTCGAAGGAAATTTTCGGGCTCTTTTGGATATGATGGAAGAGAAGTGGGTGCCCGGTTGCAGAACTACCCAAATCCGCCCCGATTTAAAACTTCTTCTGCTGCTTCCAAAAATTGGCATTCCTCTGGCGAACACAAGATTCTCCTCCATTTACTCAACTAGTGCCCGCAGCTGTGTAGTTGATGATTTTTTCGTGCTGGAATTGAGAAAATAAAAAATATATATATTTGTTGTTCACATATTAAATTGCATTTATTATTTTTACTTACATTTTTGTTTCCATTTTCAATCAAGCAATGTTTATGTTAAAACAATTTTCCTTAATTGTTATTATACGATAGCAAACACACAAGTGACTGATTTTGACATTTGTGTTCGCATGCGTACGAAAGAAAAAAGATAGTGGAACGCAAAATTACACTGAAATGCTTACGTTTTCGTTCGCTTTGATTTTCGTGCAAATTTTCGTTCTGATAGATTTTAGTGGAACGGAAATCAGCTGTTTGTCGTGTAAAAGTTGTGCGAACGTGTTCTTTCGATATCGTGGAACTGGCTGTTAATGGTGCCGTCAGCTGGGCTGATGCGATTACCTAGTACATCTACCTTGTTGTGTGGCTTGCATTATGGTTGTCGTCGGCGTCGCAAAATGAAGTCGAGGCGACAATAATGATATTTGGGTTGTCGTTTTTTGTCGATAGCGACAAGTAAAGTAAACTTTATTAGAGTCTTCTTCTTTTTCATTGGTAAATGTATGTACAAATCGAATGGTTAACATGTTTAACTTAGAACTATAGTCGTCTTGTTCTATTATACAGCGAAGTCGTAAAGATATGCTACTTAGCGTAATATGAGAATGTATTATTTATTTCATGCCAGGTGAAAAGAGAAAATGAAGCTTGCTCCCGGCCTCCGCTGATACGAGCAGAACTTTGACGTCTGCAGTAATAATAAGTAATCAAAACAAACTAAATAACAAAGTGGTCTGTTAAAACAGTGTCGAACAGAGGGTATAAAAATGATAGTTTTTTAATATAATTGTATGCTTAATGTATAGTTTATCACAGTTAATCGAATGCTCAAAGAGCTTTTTTTGTATAGTAAAATAACTTTATTACAGATAAATCACATATAATATAACGGATAATACTAATCGAGTGCTCAGTGAGCTTATATATGGAAGCAATTTAATGGAACCTTATATGGTATGTAAAGTTGCTATATAGTATACAATGTAAAATAAGAATAAACTTAGTTATCTATCCTCTGTGACAGCCAGAAGCGATTTTTTTGTAAAATTGTGGCAAGTTGTGGTCAAGAAGGCTTTCAAGCGTTTTGTTCAAGATTCTTACAGATGATAAATAGGAGGATTGTGACCAGGAAATTTCTTTTTCAATTTCATAAATTTCATTCATCACATAGTTTTCATGCGTGGCAAGTTTTTCGATGAATGTTAATTGTTGGCGTTGGGCATTTTCACAAAGAGGAACAACATTTGACGCAGTATATATGTGGGTGTTTGAGTATCGTTTATGTTCATTCATGAAATTTTTGTTGATACATTTCCTTATAATTTTTCTTTCCAGGACTTCCAATTCTTTGGCCACTGTTGGGGAAATAGAGAACCAGATCGGAAATCCATAGAGCAAAATAGGACGGATTGCTACCTTGTAGAGTTTTGTTTTTTGAGGTAGGTGTTTATTGTTTAACACATATGCAAATCTTGCTAAACGCCTTTTCCTTTTTGCATGATTGAGCGGGCATGGAAATTAAATTTCATTAAGTTGTTGAATTGGATGCCGAGATATTTGAAAGAGGTTCTGAATGGTATGTTTACGCCATACAAGGACAGTTGTAGTGATTTGCTCTCTGGGACAACGTACCATGGGCATTTTCCGGAGGCGTTACGTATGCAGATTGCAACAAACTTCGCTGCGTTTATTTGGCTACCCCACTTTTTGTAGTAGCTGTTAATGTTCTGAAGGTGATTTTTTGCGTTATTTAATGCAATTGACGGTGATGTGTGATGCGCATAAATGAGGCAATCATAGGCGTATAAAATTGCTTTTGAATTTTGACTGATGTGAGGGAAGTCGTGAAGGAATAGATTGAACAGAAATGGTGCCAAAATACTGCTTTGTGGGACTCCGCTATTTACTTCTCTCGGAGGTGACGATGCGTCATTTATATGGACGGAAAACGTTCTTGATGTGAAGAAACTTTTCATCATTTTTATTAAGTATGGGTCAATGCCAATTTCTATTAACTTGTAAATAATTCCGACCTGACATATTGAGTCAAATGCTCTTTGAATGTCTAACGATATTGCCACGGTACACATTTTGTTCCGCAAATTAGAAGTGATATCGTTATGAAACTTGAGAAGAGCATGTTGGGTGGAATGTCCAGGTTTAAGATCAAATTGGTAGACAGAGGTCGGATCTATTGTGAGTTCATTCAAAATTGTTTCTTTCAGGACTAACTCGAAGATTTTCCCAATGTTGGACAACAACGAAATTGGCCGAAAGTCATCAACAAACGCAGCATTGATTTGGGCACGATTCCATTGTATTGGAAAATACCCATTGTTGATGCAATTGTTGAACAGACAAATGAAAAATCTTACTGCTGTGTCCGGAAATTTTTTAATTATAAAGTTTGATATACCATCGGATCCACAAGATCTTTTTGAATTGGTAGTAGCAATAACACTCTTTACTTTTTCAGGAGTAGTAAAATGATGGGAGTCGGGATTGTTCAGGACACTGAATTCGTCATGTAAGGTGTTGTGACGTCAATACACGATGAAACCCTGGAATTCAGATCGTGAACTGGATGTAGAGGCAATTTCTCTAGGAAAATTGAAGAATAAAATGACTGGAACTTATTTGCAATTTCAGCGCTGTTTGTAATAATACTGTCGCCGTGTTGAAGTTTTTGACAAAAAGATGAGTTTGTTTTTCTAGTAAATTGGGAAATTTTTTTGAAAGCTGATGGTCCGGGTTTGATTTTTTTCAGCTTGTTGCTAAATATGTTGGCAGATTCTATTTTTATGAGCTCCTTTATTAGTTTTTAAGTAATTGAACTTGTTTTGAGAGAATTATGTACTCACGATTGATTCTGTTTCCTGTACGGTGGAAATTTTTTTCAGTTCTTTCTGCCATTGTTGTTTGACTTTAAGAAAGTTTTTAGTTCTTTCGGAAAGAAGGAATTTTCCGTCTTTTATGAATATTCTTTCTGAATGAAAGCTGTGAATGCTGTTAAATTCATTGTTGAAGTTCTCGATGATCATTTCAATATAATTGTTTTCGAGGTTTTTATTTGTCGGTGGCATAATTTGTTGTGTTATTGTCTCCAAATTTCTACGAAAATCATACCAGTTTGTATTTTTGTAAGATGTGAAGAATTTTGGTTGCTTCAGAACTAGATTGGATGTTTCAAAGGAAGTTTTATTGGAAAATGATCCGAAAAGATCGGCAGCAAAGATATGTGGTAGTTTTGAATTCCATGGTTTATTAGATGTGGGCTGATTAAGAAATGGTCCAAGAAAGATGGTCCATTTGGGTACGACGGCGAGGTATCACAAAGCTGAGTGACATCTAAGGAGTTGTTGCTTAGCCACGAATTGAAAACTTTACCATTTGAGTTTTCGTTCAAATCACCCCATACAGGATTTTGGCAGTTAAGGTCACCACCGATGATAAATCCATCAAAAGGAGTTCAGAATTCCAGAAGTTTATTTAGATCTGCTTCGAGTCTGTTGACAGGATAACTGCAAGGTATATATACCGTGCCAATCAAGAACATTTTAGGTCCGTTGTTTGAAGAAGAAGTTTGTATTCGAGTAAAAGTTATGTCATTTTTCACTATCACTACTGTTACAATAGGTGAGTTGTCGTATATAAATTTGTATTCGTCTAATTTGACGTAACGGTTCCTTCGAAGGTGGCATTCTTGAACAAGAGCAAAGTCAATTTTTTCGCTGTGCAGAATATTTTTCAGCTCTATTTGACGACTCGCTTCAACAAGTGAGCGAACATTGAATGTTAGGAATTTTATGAGCCTATGGTCCATAATTAGTCCTAACTTTTTCCATGGTAAGTATCGGGCGAATTTATAACTTTTTTGACGTTGTTTTGCGTAATGTTTTTAATTTCTATATCTTTAGCAGTTCTTTTCTTTTTGGCAGCTATGTATTGTCTGTATGCTGGACAGCCTCTATAGTTTGCGGGATGTCCTGATTTGTTGCAATTTACGCAAAAGGGTTCTGAGGTGTCAGATTTCTTACGCTGACATTCTCCTGGGAGGTGAACATCGCGGCACATTACGCATTTATATGGTGTGTTGCAGTTCCTGGATATGTGACCGTAGGCTTGACATCTACGACATTGTGGATCGCCTTCTTTCTTTTGGGGTTTTCCCAGGAGATGGATTGGTTTTGTAGGCCACGTATATGGGAGACTTCTCCGAAAGTTTTGCCTGGCAATAATGTTACCAGGAAAAGACCCGTGTCGGTGTTCATTTTTATTGACCTCGGCGTTTTAAATTTCGTTACGTTTGCCACTGTATTTGGAACAAGTATATCGAGATCCTCTTTAATTTTTCTGAATCTGTGTTTGGATACAGGTCTCTTATCATTAGTGGGACTTGTTTAAGCTCCTTTGGTGTAAATGAGTAGGAGTGTACGTTTTAGGCCTTAAGTATAACCATCATTGAGGCGTGTACTTTCGGGTCTGCAAAGTAGATTTTGCTTTTTGTCCTGTTAACGTTTTTTATTTAAAACGAAGATTCTGGGACGGATTTACGTAAAGTTTCCACTAGGGCATTTATATCCACGTTAAATACAAAAATTGGAGGACACCAGGTTTTCTTGGTCTTTGGCTCAACAACACTGTGATTTTGAGGTTTTTGATTACTGTCATATTAATTTGGCAATTCAATGTTGATGTCTGCAAGGGCTCCTAGAATTCCAAATCTATTGTCGTCTTGCATGTTATGTTTCAATAACTGGTTATTTAAATTAGAAATGTCTTCGTTTATGGGGGACAGTACGCTTTCCAGTCTTTGCCTTTTGCGCTCATTTTGTTTTGTTTGCAATTTTGTTGTTGCCAACGCTGGTAAGGGATGATCAAGTGTAGTTGCAACTAATTCTGTAACATCAAGGTCCATATCTGTAAGAGTTTCAGGCACCTCCATTGCAAATAAATGCAAGTTTAGATGCCTGGGCCACAATTTATTGTTACAAAGTTTACTAGACTGAATTTATTTTATTATTATCTTTTATTGGAGCGAAAATCGGTACGTCTTACAAGTTGTGGGGTTCACTTAAGATAGCGACAAATGATTGCTATTATCAAGGTAGATCTAACAGGTAACCGCATCGGCGAATTGCTACAACAAAGCAACTTTTGTGGTACTCTCAAATGTCAAAATTGGCATCTAAGGCGAAAAACATAGATTCGCCATGACATTTACAGGTTGCGGCAAATTTGTTTCAACCAATCAGAAACAAGGTGTTTGTTTACATTTTATTTTGTGCGCCTCTCGTCGTAAACGAACGTCGCAATTTATATTCAATAGAAAATATAGAAAAAATGGTTTTAAAGAAAAAAAACATAGCAGCAATATCGTTCTATGCTAAATCATAGAATTTGTATTTGTCAAATTGTATTGAAATCGTTTCAAATTTGGATAAAGTTTCTATATGTACATTCGTCCGATTTTATGTAGTTGATGTATTTGAGAACAATCTTTAAGAATGTCCTGTATGTCAGAAAACCCCAATTTTACCAATAAATAAACAGTGTTATTAAAATGTATTGACGAATATTTATTCATTTTTAAAAAAGTTTTTATTGTAAAACAAATAAGAGTAAAATAAGTATTAATTGTAGTATTGTATATTATATATATTTTTTCAACCAAGAAACTTATAATGACTATATTTTACTCGTTTTAAACCGAAAGGATATTAATTCAAGGCACATTTAAAAAAGGCCTATATGCCGCAGTTCCTGAACTGCAAATGACAAGAGTCGAATTCTTGCACTACTTCCCGTGATGTGCTTTGGATTAAAATGGTCCATACAAATCTTAGATGTTGGGGCTTACTTAATTCCTCAAGCTGCACTCCATTCTAACCTCCTTCCTTCATCTTTAGGAACACTAAATAGTGTTAAATTTCCATCACAATATTTCTTATTGCAAATCGAGCACTTTTCCATTTTGTTTTAAATTTTTTTAGTGGTTTCACTCTAAACTTGCTCTTAAATTATTTGTAATATTATAAAAAGATACTTTTAGGGAAGAAAACATAAACAAATTTGTTGTTGCATTCATTTAGGGCGAATTCACCATTGCAACAATTTGTTTTGACATTTAATGGTGCTTGGCTATTATCATTGTCGATTCAACAGTCGACGTGACATCGATTTTTGAGAATATCTGTCGCCGTAAAAAATTGTGACGACATTGCATTTTTTAGTCGACGTTGATATTGTAACCATTTTGTATTTGATTTTTGACCATAAAAATAACAACAGCAAAACAACTTGAAATTTTGGTTTCCGAATTGAAAAAAACCATGTTTGGCAAAAAGGTTTACCAAAGGTTATGTTCGGGCTAATTTCAAATCAGACTGAAAATCCATTGCTACAAAATTAAATGTAAACGGGCCTCCGATTAGAGACTCTGATGACTGGCAAAAAGTATGTTAAAATTATTTTTGTATGTTTTCATTATTTAGTTTTCTAAAATTCTTCTAGATTTGGAAAGATTTAAAATTCAAAACTAAAAAAAAACTTCAAGGGTCAGGCAATACAAATAGGTTTTTTTTTGCTGCCTTAGCCTTTGCCGCTGCACTATTAATACATTCTCCTCTTCATCCTCACTTGAACTTAAGATATGTAACGCATTTATAATATTCACTATTGACAACAACAACAAACCAAATCAATTTGGAATTGAAAATGTTGAATGAAAAACTATTTAAATTTGCAAAAATTGTTGAAAAACACGAATTATAATAACCTCCGAATGACGTCGTATAAGAAAACATATTAAAATCTACTTATATTTTAAAGAACATTTACATTTTTTTGACATATCAATGCTCCCAAGCGTTGATGCATCTACCTGTACTCTTCTGCCATGCTATGTGGTGATGCGAATTATTCTTCAACTAAGGCGAGGGAGTAGGGCAACAAGGAGGGGAACAACTTTTTCTCAAATGAGACATTCTTTTTTCACAAAGTGTTCATTTGAAATGAGAGTTAGAAAACGAAACAATTGAACGAAGCGGAGCTAGAGCACCAAATATATTTGTATGATCAACGCGACGACGGATGATCAGTACAAATAAAACTAATTATTTCCACAACAACAGAACTACTTGTTTTAGGGGAATGCGCTTGATTAACACATGAAGTGTTAATATAAGTCGACCAACTGACTTGTTTTCAAACGAAAGGCAAATGTATGATACCGCGACGTAGGATAATCAGTACAACGAATAATATGTGGACTGTATTTTTTGTAGCAATTACACGAGCGTAAAGCAATTGCGATTCGACCAAAAGTAAACAAATTAATATGCACGAAGAAACGCGATAGCAAATTTTGGCTCGAATCCGGCTCGATACGACCAATGTTTAACTTAGGGGAGTGGGGATAATAGCTTCGGTAGCGACAACAAAACTCTCCAGAGTTATTATGTGAGTAAGATGATATGGTGAGGTGCGGGTGATTCGCTCGTGTGGTGTGTAAAAGAAAGAAAATATACAAGAAATAAAACAAGGATAAATTAGTATAATTCTAAATATGACTCCGTGTTTTATTGAGGATTCTTTCTTTTCTCATGTATAACAAATTACCTTTAGTAATTGGGTTGGCGACAGAGGCCGTGTGCTTTCGCTTTCGTTTCTACTAGACAAGTGAACGCAATGGTTCTGAGTGACCGTTGAGGGTCTCATTTCTGTCTACTATCACATATACAAATACAGACAAGTGAACGCAGAGGTTCTATGTGATCGCAGAGGATCCCTTGTCTCTTTTTATTACAACGAGGGAGCAAGGGAAGTTTTGGTGGAACGTATCCAACTTATACACTATGTTTTTCATGACACAAATCGTGGGTTGCAAATGCAAATGCATATCATCATTTGTTAAAATTTTTTAAAAAGTTCAATAAACTTTCATTCAAAATATTCAATTTCAAAATTGGTTTACAGTTCATTGTTCCAGCAGCTGTGGCGATGCCAATACCTGCATTCTTCTACCATTTTTTTTTTTTTTCAAAAATAAGTAGATTGGTATTCCTTTTCCTATACGACACCAATCGGAGGTTGTTTTGATATGCATTTTTGTAACCATTTGCACAAATTTGAAAAATATCTTATCCAAAATTGGTTTGACAGTTCATTGTCCGGTAGCTGTGGCGATGCGACTACCTGTATTCTTCTATCAAAGAATTTTCCTTTTATGATATCAAAAAAACTGCAAAACCAGTAAATTCCTACAGGTTCCGGAACAGAGCATAGAAAGCCAGTGACGTCTCAAGTCTCGTGTGAACATACCAATAATATCCATTTGTGTGAACCCCATATTTTGACATTTTTGCCATATATCATTTCTCCCATGGTAGAATAATATAAGTAGACGCATCGACACAGCTGCTGGGACAATGAACTGTCAAACCAATTTTGGAAGTGAAAATGTTGAATGAAAAATATTTATATTTGTAAAAATTGTTGAAAAACGGGAATTATAATAACCTCCGAATGACGTCGTAAAAGAAAACATATACAAATCTACGTATATTTGAAAAAACATTTAAAAATTTTTGACATATCAATGTTTCCAAGCGTTGATGCGTCTACCTGTATTTTTCTACCATGATTTCTCCCCAATAGTTAACATCAAATTTTCATTGTTATTGTGTTGATTGTTTTGTTATGATAAGACGCGTTTTCTTTGGACATTGTTTATAAGTGAATAATTAATTCATAAAGAGATTTTTATCTTAAAATGGATTGCGAAGATATGCAAATGATTATTTCAGAAGAGCCAAACTTGTCGGTATGTTGAATTTAAATTTGGGAATTCTTCAATACTTCGGTAGCTGAACTAATAACCTTGGGTTTTGTGGAAATGTTGAAAACGAAATGATTTGTATGAGTAGAATTAACACAATTTTATAAATTAATGTTTTTTTCCATATACATGTCTAATTAAATTTATTTAGGAAAAATTTGGTAACAACTCTAGTTTAGTAAAAACTTAGATTTTTTCGAAATTTTTTCCAGAGGTAGGTATTTTTACCCTGATCCCGGGAAACTATTTTTTTTTGGGGGGACGGACCCGGGACCCCAAATTTTTGACCCGAAAGTCCGGGATCAAGACCCCGCCTGGACCCGGACCCACTCACCCGATATAGACATGGGTATCGATTGAAAGCTTATGGAAATACCTATCCAACAAGTGTTCACATGAAAGGGGTAAGTTGTCATGGTTCGGAAGTTATAGTCAAATTATCGATTTTTTGGACCCGGATTTTTATGAAACCCCCAAAAAGTCAAAAAAGGGTCCATTATGGGGTTCAACAAAATTGTTTCCAAATTATAGCTGACACTTACCTTTCCAAAATGCTACAATTTGTGCTAATACCTTTACTGAGTCCAGAGATATGGGTCTTTCCATCCGCATAACCCGATTTTAACCAGTTCATTAAAACTATGTTTTCAATAAAAAAAGGTATATTTTGCGTAAGAATGAAATTCAGAAATCTTTGGTTCGCGTTAGCCGGTGTAGAACATACCCAGAGGAGAGAAGAAGCTTTCCAACGATATATCGGGTTCTCAAACCCGGACTTTCGGGTCAAAAATCTGGGGTCCCAGGTCCGTCCCCCAAGAAAAAATAGTTTTCGAAAAAATTGAAGAGTTTTTACTAAACTAGAGTTAAGCCCAAATTTGTAAACTACGCAGTAAATTCGTTTTGGAAGTATAAGGGGGTTAAAAAAACAACATCCTGGATATAGGGGTTGTTTAATAATACATGTTTTTGTAAATTTGCAGGAACGCAAGGAAGGAGGAAAGCGAGGACGCAAACCAGGACGTAAGGCTTCGAATGAAAAAGTCGACATCAAAGCTAAACTTGGTATATTAATACTTGCATATCTAGATCCTCGAGACTTATTAAATGTCTATTCTTTCAGAACGTAGTAGGCAAAGCGCCCGAGAGTGCCGTGCTCGTAAAAAGTTAAGATATCAGTACTTGGAAGAGTTGGTAGCTGATCGGGAAAAAGCTGTACTAGCCCTGAGAGCGGAATTGGAGCGAGTAAGTCAGTACACAATTTTATGGATTTGATGTTCGGGTCAGTTCTGACGTACCTGTAACATATTCTAATTTTCAGTACAAACAATGGAGCCATAAACTGGGCGAAGGACGCATTCCCAATGGATTTCAGCAGTTATTAGAAGAATCTGGAATTCTTAAACAAGAAATATCATAGTTAATAAATAAAAGTGTATCACATAATTAAAATAAGTACCAAACATTGTTTCTACCATAGTATTTGTATACATAAATAATATATTTCATCCTAAATGTTAATATGCAATATACTGGCGTTCCATTGTTAGATTTTTAACGCTATCTCCATTGTTAGATTTTTTTTCTATCGTTACGCGTACACTATTTAATGTACTACCAAATTAATATATATATATATATATATATATATATATATATATATATATATATATATATATATATATATATATATATATATATATATATATATATATATATATATATATATATATATATATATATATATATATATATATATATATATATCTTCTTCTTCTATATATATAAAAATCAATTGTTGTTTGTTGGTAACGGAATCAGTTGAAAACGGCTGGACCGATTTGCATAATTTTTTGTACAAACGTTCGTCATACCCCGAGTTAGGTTTTTAGGTTTAGGTTTAAAAAATATTGACCACGCCTACTTTTACGCCCACTATTTCGATTCATCTAAAATCCTTATATTTGCGAAATTAATGAAGATATCGGTTTGAGAATTATTACACGAGATACTGTTGGCTTTCCATCCAACCGTAAGTATTTATTTAGGGGCTGAGGAACGCGCCTACTTTTAAATCTGTCTCTCTATATGTAAAAGAAAGTTATGTTAGTTACTACGCTTATAACATAAAGACCGCCGGTCTGATTTTAACGATTCAGACAAATTCGGAATTGCCTCTTGGCAGAAAAGCATAAAATCCAAAAAAATCGCGTAAAAATGTGAATTTAGAACATTTTCATTTTGACTTTTAAAATGTACAATAGTAATGTTTTATTTTGCATGATTTTTTTTCCATTTTGACTTACTATTTTCGAATGTACATTTGTAGTTTTTTTTTTTTTTTTTTTTTTTTTGGAATTCTAATATGATGTGTAGTTTTTTTGGGTAGTATAAAGCGACAACGGATAAAACTGTTATTTATAGATTTTATGTATTTATTGGGTAATACGAATAATATCATTTCAGAAGAGAATAAGATATGAAAATTCTAAAATCGAGAAAAATCTAAAATTTTTCAATGAAATCGAATTTCAAAATAATAGTACATTCTACAGACAAACTTTAAAAATTTGGCGTAAAAAAATCAGCGAACCAGTTGAAGATTCTTTGTCTTTTTCAATCCTTTCTTTTTTTCTATATTGAAGTGTACATTTCTTATTGTTTTCAATTCGATGTTAAATGGCGATCTTTCGTGTATAAAATTGGCATCTAGCGAACACATTTATACAAACAAAAATAATCGAAAAAGCGTTATGGGGTTCACTTCAAAAAGTGGACCTGTTTCTTTCATATGACAATAATTCGTCCAATGAGAACTCAAAATGCAAAATACATTGGGACTGCAATCAGTGAAATACCGAATATAAAGGGAAAAGGATTTCTATTCTTCCAAAACTTTCACGATACCTTAAATCACTTTTGCAGTTCATGATATGGGCCATAACCCCCGGATAAGGATACAACCCGATTTCAAGTATATCATACATTTTAACCATATTTTCATACTAATTTTGGTAATTTGGGAAGAAACCATCCTTGCAAAAAATGATCACGTTTTGTATAACCATCATATGATTTAAGGAACCGGACATTTGTTTAATCGTCTTTGAATTATACTATGATAAAAGATATGGACATTATGAGGTCTCCAACGCGCAATTTCAATGACAAATACTACTTATTACTTTAAAAACAAGTAAAAAAAATAAGTTCGACAGGGCAGAATTATTACTATCATCCATCTGAGGGAAAAGGAAAAAGTTTTATATAAAGGACGCAAAATAGTAGAGCGAATTGAGTTTTGCCTTGTTAAGGCGAAGATCATATGTTTTATGATTTAAGTGTTTGTTTTCTCTTTCGAGACGAGCTTAATGATCTGAAATTTGCAGTGAAAAGGAAAGCCAGATAGACACTATCACACACTCACCACTATGCGACGCGTTTCGCCGTTGGTTAAGCGGCTCATCAGGCATATTTGGTGTGGATGATGGCTTACAAGGGCCGTTCTCTGGAAAGTAGTATATATTTCGAACTTAATGCAAATTAGCATATGCGAATTATACACTAGAAACTCTCCAGGTTCGACTCAAGTTCTATTGGCAGATCTTTTTCACAGCAACGTTTTTTTTTTTTTGTTTTTGTAGTGATGGATTTTTTGTCCACAACAACTACATTGCTTCCAATGCATACACTTGTTTTAGTGCTGCTTTAGGAAGACGGTTTAATGGCTCTGAACGTAGAGACGGCAACTTCTAGTTGGCTGCACACAGAGGTCCGCGGTTCAAATCCCACAGCCAGGCTCGGCTGAATTTTTGAGTTTTGCCTTGTTAAGGCGAAGATCATATGTTTTATGATTTAAGTGTTTGTTTTCTCTTTCGAGACGAGCTTAATGATCTGAAATTTGCAGTGAAAAGGAAAGCCAGATAGACACTATCACACACTCACCACTATGCGACGCGTTTCGCCGTTGGTTAAGCGGCTCATCAGGCATATTTGGTGTGGATGATGGCTTACAAGGGCCGTTCTCTGGAAAGTAGTATATATTTCGAACTTAATGCAAATTAGCATATGCGAATTATACACTAGAAACTCTCCAGGTTCGACTCAAGTTCTATTGGCAGATCTTTTTCACAGCAACGTTTTTTTTTTTTTTTTTTGTTTTTGTAGTGATGGATTTTTTGTCCACAACAACTACATTGCTTCCAATGCATACACTTGTTTTAGTGCTGCTTTAGGAAGACGGTTTAATGGCTCTGAACGTAGAGACGGCAATTCCTTCCAGAAATTCAAGATACCTTTAATAGCTTTGGGAAGTTATGATATGGGAACAACCCGATTTCAAGTATATTCCACATTTTAACCATATTTTTCGTACTAATTTTACCTTATGTTGATAATTAAAAAAAAAAACACCCTTGCAAGAAATGATCACGTTTTAGTATCACCATCATATGATTTAAGCTATTTTCGGGGTCTTGGACACTTTTTCCATTTTTTGGCCCTTATTTGACATCTTTGTTTCTAAGGGGGAAGAAAACCTCTTCTCATAATTTATTTTTTTTTATTTATTTTTCGGAAAAGGGCCCATCTTAGTCTTGTGGCTACATTGGGTATATATATATATAGTAGTTTTACATGCATGTATTTACTAGCTGGCCCGGTCCGCGTTGCCGGACCGTAGTAGTGCATAGTTTTTTATTTTTTATTCAGCCACATGTTTTAATTTGAGACTTTAAAACTTAAATAATATATAACATTATTTAAAAACCTAACTCGGGGTATGAAGAACGTTTTTACAAAAAATTATGCAAATCGGTCCAGCCGTTCTCAACAACAATTGATTTTTATACCCTCCACCATACTATGGAGGGTATATTAACTTTGTCATTCCGTTTGTAACTCCTCGAAATACTCATGTCAGACCCAACAAAGTATATATATTCTTGATCAGCGTAAAATTTAGCCATGTCCGACTGTCTGTCTGTTGCAATACCCACCGAAATTGTTTGAGATATCGTATTTGACGTTAGTAATGGATGCTATAGCCTGTGACAGAAAATTGTCTATGCTGGTCCAGGTCTTCGCACAGCTCCGATATAATTGTACCTCCCTATGTACGATATTTTGATGATTTTAGCTACATTATTCACCGTTTATTTCAAGTTTCGAGTTTGAATATGGTAATGGCTTATGACGAATAATGCCAATGTAGGTCCTCGTCGTATAGACCCCAATATAACGGCAATATTCGGTATTTTTAAAATTTAACAGGACTTTTTAAGGATTTTATTTTTTTTAAATTTCCAAATTCGTTCCAAATGGTGGAGGGTATTCAAAGTTTGGCCCGGTCGAACTTACTGCTTTTTAACTTTTTATACCCTCCACCATACTATGGAGGGTATATTAACTTTGTCATTCCGTTTGTAACTCCTCGAAATACTCATGTAAGACCCAACAAAGTATATATATTCTTGATTAGCGTAAAATTCTAAGTCGATTTAGCGATGTCCGTCAGTCTGTCCGTCTGTTGTAATCACGCTATCTTTCGAGACAGAAAATTGTCTGTGCAGGTCCACGTCTTCGTATAGCCCCCATATAACGGTACCTCCCTATATTCGGTATTTTGGTGATTTTAGCGTCATTATTCACCGGAATTTTTTCAAATTACGCATTTAGAGTTCGTAATGGAAACTACAGTCTGTGACAGAAAATTGTCTATGCAGGTTCATTCCAAATGGTGGACGGTATTCAAAGTTTGGCCCGGCAGAACTTTCTGCTATTTAACTTGTTCATACTAATTTCGGCAAAAGGTGGTTATTTAAGAAATTAGAAAGTAACACGAGACCGAACATTTCTCTAATCGTCATTGAATTACACTACGATGAAAAATGTGGACATTATTGGATCTCCATCGCACAATTTAAATGACAAAAAATTTATGCCCAAAAGAGTAATTTTTTGGCTATTCTGACAACATTCTACCTTCAAGTATGAGGTGAACAAATCTAAATACCAAGCAGTACGGGATTTTAAACGTTGGAAATACAAATTTCAAATTATAGCTCATTTGAATGCTTTTGACGATATCAAAAATTGAGCTGAATTTTCACATGGGGCTATTATAGATGTTCTTTATCATATAGGTATTTAACTCTCAAATTAAAGCCTATAGCTGAAAAATAAGATCAGGCTATTCAAAATATGTAAAACCGACGGTAATTATAATTTTTTCCATTAATATTAATTTATATTTAGTCATGGAGTCATTACTCATAATCAAGTCATTACTTATAATCAAAATTGTGACGCCTACACAAGTCAGATCTGTGATTTATTATGCTTTAAAGACTAAAAGTACGGGCCGGCAAAGCGGACCGGGCCAGCTAGTATATATATATATATATACATATATATATATATATATATATATATATATATATATATATATATATATATATATATATATATATATATATATATATATATATAGTAGTTTTACATGCATGTATTTACTAGCTGGCCCGGTCCGCGTTGCCGGACCGTAGTAGTGCATAGTTTTTTATTTTTTATTCAGCCACATGTTTTAATTTGAGACTTTAAAACTTAAATAATATATAACATTATTTAAAAACCTAACTCGGGGTATGAAGAACGTTTTTACAAAAAATTATGCAAATCGGTCCAGCCGTTCTCAACAACAATTGATTTTTATACCCTCCACCATACTATGGAGGGTATATTAACTTTGTCATTCCGTTTGTAACTCCTCGAAATACTCATGTCAGACCCAACAAAGTATATATATTCTTGATCAGCGTAAAATTTAGCCATGTCCGACTGTCTGTCTTGTGGTGTGCGCCTTGTAGGGTTAATTTTTAAAAAAATAAGAAGAAGAATAATTGATATCATACACCAAGAACAGCTGTTTTGTATAACAGTTGTAAAATGTCATAGAGGGGAAATAAAGGAAAGATAACAATATGGCAGGAGAAATGATTTGTCAAAAAAAAGGTAGGATGATGGTCCTTTTTTACAACATCCACGAAGAAGACTGGACGTGTGACCTCCCAAAATCCCCAAAGAACAAATTTGAAGTTGTTGGTGCACTGTAATTTTTATTGAGTGCAATGTGCAACAAGTCACATATGCATATAAATTGAACTGAGAATTTAAAGAATACAAAAAGGAGAACAATTGAACATTTAAATCTCCTTAGATTAACAAATATAGAAATACAAACAATATTTTGGTTTGAAGTTAAGTTAAAACGAATATAAGACAAATATTATGAGATAATACCTTTGGATTTAAAACAGAGGTTCATATTAACAGTTAACATATGAACTAAAAGTACAACTATAACTAAATCTACTTAAAGCTAAACGGGAGTCACACTCTTCGCTGTCCAAGTCCAACGAGGGAGGCGCTGTATAAACGCATAGGCAGTACGGCATGCGCTGGTATAGTTCCCAATAGACATAAGTACTCTGAGACTTCGGACAGACAGACGGACGACCAGCAAATAATTAAATTCCGGGTTGTTATTTCATGAAAAGAAAGAAGAGGTATTAAAAAGGAAAAAGGAGTGAACAAAGGCGATTTATATTGATTTTTATTTACCTTGTCGTTGAGGTACAGGTGGTTAGGACTCCGAATTGAGCTCAACTCTGGGTTAGGTGACCATCCTTCAATGTGTTCTAGCGTTGTCGTTTCTGTTTTTTAGGCGACACTTTCCTTTGTTTGTCCTTAATCTGTAATGAGAAAAAAGAAAATGTATTAAATATCGCTAATTCGGAATATAATTATAACGCTAATACTCTAAAACATACAAATACTTACATTACATATTGGGAAAAGCCAGAATTTAACAGCCGCATTCAGCATTCATGTCCGTCTGGTCAACCTGAGAAGAAGAAGAAGAAGAGAGTTAATTGGCGTTCAGCGCAGATTAGTTTAAATATTTATGTGAATTGCCTAAATTATTATTAAACGTTGGTTTTAATTGCTTCAGAATTATAATTACGATTTAATTTTCAACTATGTTTGCCTACATTACATTAAAAAAAATCATTGAATCAGTTGTTTAATATGGATACATAGGAAATTCCAAAAAAAATTGTATTAAATTAGAATGAATAAAGATATTTATAACGTGGATTTAAAATGAATGGAAAATATGTGTTGTAATATGGAGCACTAAATAAAATAGGTAAGAAAGTGTAGATCTACACAGGTGGGGAAAGCATGGGGTATTCCATATTAAAAAAAAATGGAGAACAGGAATACCATGGTGGGGAGGGAATTTCTCCAGGCACAATAAACAACCAAACGTGCCCAAGTAACTAATCAAGTTCAGACCGAAAAGAATTTAATTCACTACCAGATGACTCGATGTTGTGTTCCTTTGTTTATCCTCCCGCTGGCCATAGATATTTTAGTTTTTTGTCCACTTTATCGAGGTCTAGTTTACTGACAAGAACTGCGATCCCCATAGACTGAGCTGTTGCCGGAGCAAACTGTCAGCCAGCCAACCCCGTCTGTAAATTAGTTCCCACTCCAGACGATAGAGGTCCGCAGGACAGGACAAAAATGGCGCCCGCAACATGGGGCCTGAGAAATCAGGTGTCCAATTTCATTTTTTTGGTGCCACTCCTTACGCTGTCCTACGTCTTTAGGTTCGGACACCTTAGTCCCGGCATTAGATTTGTCGTAAGTCGCGCTGTTGGGCAAGGTATCCGGCCGACAGGGGTAGGATGGGGTTGGGAAGGTGGCGATGTTGTTTCCGATTGGAAGAATCGTAAGTCACGGTTTGCTAGCTTGTTAGAACAGTAGATCGGTAGCGACGATTCTGAAAAGAGGAAAGAACAGAGTTAGTCTCAGGAGTTAATTTAAATAAACCAAATTAGCTTGCTTACCTGTCCGTCCGCCTAAGGTATTGTAAACGATGCATGCCCCGACTTGAGAGTCCTGGAAAGGTGCATATTCGAAATGTGCAATCCAGTGTCCTCGAGTTAATGTCCGTTAGGTAGCAAGCTGATCCCAGTTTTGTTCATTTTAAGTACAACGAGCCATCTGAAAATAGGAAATGTTTATGAATTGGAGATAAAGTAAATATTTTAACAAAGTATGGTTATGGTTTTGATTGGTTAATTTTTACCCACCTGTGAATGATCTACGTTTTCGAATCCCTATAGATAAAAAATTGTTTCGGCATTCCGCATAATTTACCTAAAAAAAAAAGAAAAGAAAGAGAATCAGTGAAGAAATTACTGAATTTATAGTTTAGATACTCTCTGGTTTGGCATAAATTTATATACATCCCTGAATAGAAGAAAAGAAAGAATTATAGTAAATAGTTTACAGAGGTAATGTGGCAAGGTATCAGGTAGGATTAAATGGTGAAGACAAGGTCTAAATCGTATGAAGCTGAGGATAAAGACCCAAACTGCTCTATAATGTCTACGGTTACGACGATAGCCACAGGTACCTGCCCCACTTCGACCGCGACAACAACAACAGCGATAACAGCAACGACAACCTGCGCGCTTACCACAATATATGAAGGTGGTGGTATAATGTCGGCCATATCGAGCCCAGCTCAATCAGTAGAGGGGTCAATTTCGTCGGGTGAAGAAAATACCCCTGGAACGCCAAATTTCAGCAGTATCACAGCTCAAAATATCCAACAGGAAAGGCGAAGAGACGGTTCACAAGGGCAACAAGAGCGAATGAGTTGGCAAGCTACTGATCCTCAGCTGCGAGAGGTTATAAGTTCAGCAATAGAAGTGGGCCAGATGGAGTTAATACGTCTGCTAAATGAGAAATTGTGCATGTTGGTGCCACGACTAGTACAAAAGAGCATGGCAGAAATGGGAACGGTTTTGAATGGCAGTGGCCGGAACCAGAACAGTCCAGCGAGCATGTCGACATCCGCGGTAAATCCTGGGTCCGGGCCGCAAGCTCATCTATCAGCACCTACCGCCCAGGGACAGAAGGAAACATCAGTTCATCCTCGCCCTGGAAATACACAGGATGAAGTGCCTCCAAGTCAACCAGCAAACCAGCCACATAACCAGCCTTACGGACAACCAGCAAGCCAGCCACATAACCAGCCCTACGGTCAACCAGCAAGCCAGCCACATAACCAGCCTTACGGCCAACCACCAAGCCAGCCACCAAACCAGCCTTACGGCCAACCACCAAGCCAGCCACAGAACCAGCATTACGGTCCACAAACAAACCGGCAATATAGTCTTCAGCCAAATCAGCCACCATATCTTCCTCAGCAACCAAATGGCAGTTGGCAGCATTGGGGAGAACAACCACCCCCAGGTAATACATTCGGTTTTACTAGGCCCATACAGTACCCTGTCTACAGTCCTAGACGCAGCGAGATGGACAAATGGAGACTGCGATTCGACGGTACGTCAAAGTCAATCACGGCTGAAGATTTCATGTTTCGTTTGGAGCGCTTAAAGGTAGACTATGGCTACAGCGATGAGGAGGTGGTAATCAAGTTCCCTCAGTTGTTAGAAGGGCCGGCGGAAGATTGGTTCTGGATGCAGCGTCGATTAGGTCGTTTAAATAGCCTCCAAGATATCAAACATGCCTTTCTGTCACAATTCCGAAAGTTTGAAAGTGACTTCGATGTGCAGCGTCGGATGATGGATCGTCGTCAAGGCTCCCAGGAACCATTTGAGGAGTTTTATAACGCCATGCTCCGCCTACACTGCCAGCAAAGAGTGCCGATGGAAGAAAGCATGCTAGTGGGGATGCTAAAGAATAATTTGAAACCATCAATGGCTTCGTTGGTGTTTCCTATGAAGATATATGGGCTGCAACATTTTCGGGAAGAGTGCCGGAAGGCAGAGCAACTATTGGCAAATCAAAGGCAGGCCTCGCAGGCATACAAACAGACATATAATCAGCGAGTTCACGCCCTAGAGTCCGAAGAACCAAACGAATTTGAAGTGGAGGCAATCTCCAGGCAAGCAAACTATATTTGCTGGAATTGCAAAGAGAAAGGCCATGGATTTGTTGAATGTCCATCCAGTATACGCAATCTCTTCTGCTATGGTTGTGGGTGGGAAAATGTGACCAAGCCCCGTTGCCCGCAGTGCCAGGGAAACCAGCAGTCCGGAACGATGAAAGGGGTGGCTCGTCCGGCTCAATCGCAACCCCAGAAGTGAGACATGATGAGCATGGGAGGGCGCAGCGCAGAATTCTTGAGAAAATGAGTAGCAATAGTGTAGTGAATGAGGAGAAACCCGAAGGTAGACATAAGGAAATTAAACCTTGGCATATACGCCTAAAAGAGTACGAGGCGGCCAGGAAAAGGATTTTCGATGAAGGAGACGAGGATAAATTGAATTGTAAGGGCCATGAAGGCAATGGAAATACAGTAGATATAAGTTATAGGGATAAGGTAGTTTGTAAGCGCCATGAAGGCAAACAAGATGCGTTAGATTTTGAATTGAATGAAGTACAAGGAGGAAGAACTTCGAACAGTAAGGCTACTAAGTCGATTTCTAACACTGATAGTAGACGAGATAGGATCTCGAAGGCCAGGAAGAGATTTCGAGCGAGAAAAAGGCTAAGAAATCAGATAGCAGAGGCGACACTTTATGAAGGAGAAGACACTCGCTTGTACGCCCGGATAAAAATAGGTAACACTGAGGTTGAAGGCCTTTTGGATAGCGGGGCTAATGTTACTTGTTTGGGAAAGGGTGCGGTTGAGTTGGCTGATAGGGAAGGAATACCCATCGTCCCTTATAGGTCACAGATTAAAACGGCAGATGGTACACCTCACCAGGTAGTTGGTAGAATTAGGAGTAAAGTCAAGTTGAAGAAAATCGAGAAAGAGGTCGAGTTTTTCCTAGTCCCAACTTTAGGTAGAGTTCTTTATCTTGGGGTTGATTTTATGCGTGCATTTGAGTTGTTAGCCGCGGTGGAATGCCTGTCGATGGAAGAGGGAACCGAAGCGGAGCCGATCGATCCTACCGCTCACATTTTGACCGAAGAAGATCAAAAGATATTGCGAAACGTCGTCGAGCAATTTCCGTCGTTTGCGGTGCTAGGCCTGGGTAAGACAGAACTGGAGACACACACCATCGACACCGCAGAGGCAGAACCTGTTAAGCAGAGGCACTATCCAGTCTCACCTGCAGTTCAAACTCTCATGTTTGCAGAGTTGGATAGGATGCTGGACATGAAGGTCATTGAGCCAAGCCAGAGTCCTTGGAACAGTCCTGTAACATTGGTACGCAGAGGTACCAAGAACAGGCTATGCCTGGACGCTAGGAAGCTCAATGCCCTTACTGTCAAGGATGCTTATCCTCTCCCGAACATCGAAGGGCTGCTCAGCAGGTTAGGAGACACACATTTTATTTCGAGTGTGGATCTAAAAGATGCATTCTGGCAGATCCCGCTCGAAGTAAAGAGTAGAGAGAAAACGGCTTTTACTGTCCCAGGAAGGCCCTTATACCATTTTACCGTCATGCCTTTTGGGTTGTGTAATGCGGCCCAAAGGTTATGTCGGTTGATGGATAAGGTCATTCCTGGACACATGCGTGAGAGGGTGTTCGTGTACCTAGACGACTTGCTCATCGTGGCCCCTGATTTTAAAACACATATCGACCTTTTGACGCAGGTGGCGCATCATCTAATGAAAGCTAACCTAACGATAAACGTAAGCAAGTCGAAATTTTGTTTCCGTGAGCTTCGCTATCTGGGCTATATAGTTGGTGGAGGTCAGTTAAAGGTGGATCCGCAGAAAGTGGCAGCCATAGTGGATTGCGCTTACCCGAAAAACGCGCGACAAGTTCGCAGGTTCACCGGGATGACCGGCTGGTACCGCCGTTTTATCGCCGATTATGCCACCTTGGCGGTACCGATTTTTGCAACCCTAAAAAAAGGACGGTCATTTGAGTTTGGGAAGGAAGCGCAGGAAGCGTTCAATAAGTTGAAAGAGGCTTTAACACAAAGTCCAGTGTTACAACACCCAGATTTCGATAGTCACTTCTATGTGCAATGCGATGCTTCCGATTTGGGAATTGGTGGTGTGTTGTTTCAGAAGGATGATGACGGAGGAGAGCATCCTGTGGCCTACATGTCTCAAAAACTAACACCTGCCCAGAAGAATTACTCAGTAACCGAACGAGAATGTCTGGCTGTCGTGATGGCAATTAAAAAATTCCGACCATATATTGAACTAATGCCGTTCACGGTCATCACAGACCATTCATCGCTTAAATGGCTGATGACAAATAAAGAGTTAAGTGGACGTTTAGCCAGGTGGAGTTTGCTGTTGCAAAGCCACACGTTTAAGATTGAACATCGGCGAGGGAGTCAGAACGTCGTTCCGGATGTCCTATCCCGATACAATTTAGAGGAGTTGCTAGGGCAAATGGAGAGTGCGGTAGATTTGCTGTCAGAAGAATTCAGGAGTGAAGAGTACATAGCCAAGGTGGAAACCATTAAGCAAAATAAAGAATCATTACCCGATCTTATGGTGAAAGATGGTTACATTTACAAAAAAAACCATTCCTATCACCGTTGATATTCCCCATGAGGATTTTGTATGGAAGCTTTGGGTGCCAGCAGGTTTGACGGAATCAGCGATTATTAAAGCCCATAACGCACCCACAGCCGCGCATGGAGGCTACCATAAAACCCTGAAGCGACTTAAGCAGCTCTATTATTGGCCGAATATGAATGCGCAGATAAGAGAATATGTAAGAAGATGTGAGACCTGCAAAGAGGCGAAAGCAAATTACAGAAATATGCAACAACCCATGGAGGCCAATGTGTCTTTCGAGCGACCGTTTCAGAAAGTGTATGTTGACTTTTTAGGTCCATATGTTCGGTCGAAGGCCAACAATTCCTACATTTTTATAGTGCTCGACCATTTCACGAAGTACGTTTTATTAAAGCCAATGTCTAAGGCGACATCTCGGAATGTCATTAAGTTTCTGATGGACGAAGTCTTTCATAAGTTTGGAGTGCCGGAAGTATTGATGTCCGATAATGGACAGCAGTTTGTTGGGAAGGATTTCACAAATTTCCTAGAGTCGTATGGCGTAAAGCAGTTCAAAACTGGGGTATATTCGCCACAAGCAAACCAATCGGAACGAGTAAATCAATCTATCTTGTCCGCGATTAGATCCTACCTGAAAGACGACCAACGGGATTGGGATCAGAATCTATCGTCGATAGAATGCGCTCTTCGATCATCGGTTCATTCATCGATAGGTATGACCCCCTATTTTGCTTTATTTGGGACAAATATGGTAACACATGGGAGTGTTTATCGACTGGCAAAACAACTAGAATGTATGAGCGATCCGGATTTTAGCGCTCTCCCGAAGTCTTCGAAGTTAGAACTGGTGCGAAATGAGGTAAAAAGGAATCTACAAAAAAGCTATCTAGATCGATCTCGGAAGTATAATATACGGACAAGGAAAGTTAGGTTTCTCCCGGGTCAGGAAGTGTACCACCGGAACCACCAAGCGAGTGATTTTAGCAAGAATATTAATGCAAAACTGTGTAAGAAATTTGTGAAATGTAGGATTGTGCGTGCGGTTGGGAACGTTCTGTATGAGATAGAGGATTTAAAAGGAAAAAGCCTAGGAGTCTATCATGTACGTGACCTTAAACCTTAGTGGCTAGCTTTGCATGAACAATTAGAGTCGGATTGAGTTGTGGTGTAATTGCACACACGGAGAGGATCTGCGGGTTTGCAGACCAGATCAATTATTTCTGTTTGATTGAGTTAAGATCATATTATTTCAAATGTTCGAATCAAGCATTCAATGTGTGGTGTGTGAAATATTATGGTTTTCTTTGCTTGTTATTCAAAAATTGCCCTAAAATTTCATGTTTACGGTTATGGCAGAATGATGGATTGAGAATAATCGATTAAAAACTTTTCCTCAAGCTATAAGTGGCCAATCCGCTTGTGCCAGCAGCAGACGACAGAATTGGGAAGTCAGAGTACGAAGAAGGTATCCCGGGTTTGCCGACTCTAGGGAGAGATGTTATATATTTAGTATAAAATTTTGCGCTTCAGGAGCAGTCACGTTGTGACATGTCTTTGACCTTTAGTGCAGAACCCCTTTTACCATCATAGGATGGTGCCGTTTGTAACTATTGACACGGGCGGAGGAACTGTTTTACACGTGGTCGCAGATCCGTCCTTCACTCGTCTTATGAAACTAGAGTCTGGAAACCGGGAGAACAAGTTCAAATACACCTAAATGCATCTGAAATACAACGTATCCGACATTCTGGCGAAAGCCGCGAGGCAGATAGACGGTACATTCACGGAGGAGAAAAGAAGTAAATCCATTTTCAAATAAAATCGTTCGGTGGTTAAATTGTAGGCTTCAAGGCAACTTATCTTTTTTAGTTCTGAGTAATTCTCAATTTTAGTTACAGCGCTGAAATCGGCATTGGTGGTATTTCTGATATAAAAGTTTTCATGGAAATTATGATCCCTGTAGTTGGTGCTATTTTACTGCCGACAACCGGATAACTGTCGGTTTGTTTATCAATCAGCATAATCGGTTTTAGAATTTAAGTTTTTGATTGTCAAAGTACTCAACAGGAATATGGAGAAATATTAAGAAAAATTCTTACCTTATCAAGAGTCATAGAAACACCAGTGGTTTATTTAAAATGAAGGCAGAGCTGGTCTTGAGGCAACGCTCCTCTATTGTGCCTTTCCAACGCAATACTGGAGCAAAGATTTACTTGATTGATAAAATCAATGTGCTCCACGTCTTCAAAACCTCGTCATTCTTGTCGAAACTCACTTTATTTTGGTTTAAATATAGTGTTTTGGATTCATAACGTTTTTACAACTTGATTTTCTTTTGAATATTGTCGGATTTTATTTGCCTTAAATATTTAAATTCAGATAAAAACACTTTTTCATTCACAAAATTTGGGTTTTGATTGATGGCGGTCGCAAAATAACTGCATTGTTGCTTTCACTGGGAAGACAGGCGCACGAATTCTAACAGGCCAAATCTTCATTCTAAAATTGACATTTTTAATGAGCATTTTTATATTTTGGCCAACTCAGAATAGCCATCATTTCACTGAGAGGTAGTAGCAAGAATTTGCTATTTTTACACCTTTTTCATTCATATATTTTTATTCTTAACTTTTTGAATGAACGGCATACACTAATCGAGAACTTGTTGTTTTTCCTAGTGGAAGCTCTTTTTTATTTTTGGGCAATGCAAAACGTGTTGATTTACTATTTAGGGTGATATCACGTTTAATTTTTCACAATTCATATAATAATATCGTAACACACACTATATTTGCGTACTATGCTTTTTTTCATTTTCTAGTAAAGCCACAATTTAACACTCTATCTTGTATACAATTTTCAATTTTTATTTATTTTTGCTTCATTTTGCTACTTATTCTTCAGATTTAACATTAATTAATCTATATTTCGCGCTCTCACTCTTTATTTTGTTTTGATTTCACATTTCTATTCCGTTTAAATTATTTTCGTTTTCTTTTTTTGTTTTTTTTTTTCGTATTTTCTTTTGCGGAGCAATTATTTTTCTTCACTTTGGTTTCATTGTGGTGTGATTTTCAAACTTCACTTTATTTCCGCCAAAATCACGTTGTTTCTATTTAGTGAATGAGTGCATTTTATGAGTGTAAATGCATCTTTCGTATAACCACTTGTAACACGCACACACACCCACACACTAGTCGACAATTTCTTTTAGGTTATATTAATAATTTTTCTATTAATATATTTCCTGCTTTTAGTAATATTTGTTAAATATTTAATTATTTTTTGTTTCTTTCTTGTTGAATATTTCCAAATATTATTTTGGCAAGTATTTGTTTCACTATCAACCATGTACTCACACACAACCGCACTGTATGCTTTCCATTGACATTTTTTCATTCACATCTTTCTTAGGTTTTTTTTTCTCTCATACAACTTTTCACACACAAAATGATTAATTTGTTAAAAAACCGAAATGCCACTTATCTCTTTATTAACAATATCTAATTTTCACTTTAAACTCTTCACTTATTTCACTCTACTTACCCGATCTTTTTAATTTTCTGCAACACCGAAGAAGTCCGTCCACAACGCGCCAATTTTTCTTTTGCAAAGAAGCCACTACCCATGGTATGCCACTACCCATTCATAAACGTTCCATTCATTGGCATATTTTGTAGTCCGCCTAATGGGAAAAGCGTAACGTATGACGTATGCATTATGCCATGTTTACCCGAGAGGTAACTAATATAGATAACGCTAGGTTTACACTAGGGTAAAGATTGCATGATGTTCCAACAGAATATTTTCCTCGGAAACTTGAAAAATTAGCTTTAGGGATGCCAAATTAGAATTCGTAGGGATGCCGAACACGGATTTTCTTATTTAGTACCAAATTAAATATATATAGTTACATTAATTTTTCATTCTCAAATGTCGCACCTTTTTCCCTCCTATCCTTTGATAATGATATCGGCAGGATAGTGGGGTTTGTGGTGTGCGCCTTGTAGGGTTAATTTTTAAAAAAATAAGAAGAAGAATAATTGATATCATACACCAAGAACAGCTGTTTGTATAACAGTTGTAAAATGTCATAGAGGGGAAATAAAGGAAAGATAACAATATGGCAGGAGAAATGATTTGTCAAAAAAAAGGTAGGATGATGGTCCTTTTTTACAACATCCACGAAGAAGACTGGACGTGTGACCTCCCAAAATCCCCAAAGAACAAATTTGAAGTTGTTGGTGCACTGTAATTTTTATTGAGTGCAATGTGCAACAAGTCACATATGCATATAAATTGAACTGAGAATTTAAAGAATACAAAAAGGAGAACAATTGAACATTTAAATCTCCTTAGATTAACAAATATAGAAATACAAACAATATTTTGGTTTGAAGTTAAGTTAAAACGAATATAAGACAAATATTATGAGATAATACCTTTGGATTTAAAACAGAGGTTCATATTAACAGTTAACATATGAACTAAAAGTACAACTATAACTAAATCTACTTAAAGCTAAACGGGAGTCACACTCTTCGCTGTCCAAGTCCAACGAGGGAGGCGCTGTATAAACGCATAGGCAGTACGGCATGCGCTGGTATAGTTCCCAATAGACATAAGTACTCTGAGACTTCGGACAGACAGACGGACGACCAGCAAATAATTAAATTCCGGGTTGTTATTTCATGAAAAGAAAGAAGAGGTATTAAAAAGGAAAAAGGAGTGAACAAAGGCGATTTATATTGATTTTTATTTACCTTGTCGTTGAGGTACAGGTGGTTAGGACTCCGAATTGAGCTCAACTCTGGGTTAGGTGACCATCCTTCAATGTGTTCTAGCGTTGTCGTTTCTGTTTTTTAGGCGACACTTTCCTTTGTTTGTCCTTAATCTGTAATGAGAAAAAAGAAAATGTATTAAATATCGCTAATTCGGAATATAATTATAACGCTAATACTCTAAAACATACAAATACTTACATTACATATTGGGAAAAGCCAGAATTTAACAGCCGCATTCAGCATTCATGTCCGTCTGGTCAACCTGAGAAGAAGAAGAAGAAGAGAGTTAATTGGCGTTCAGCGCAGATTAGTTTAAATATTTATGTGAATTGCCTAAATTATTATTAAACGTTGGTTTTAATTGCTTCAGAATTATAATTACGATTTAATTTTCAACTATGTTTGCCTACATTACATTAAAAAAAATCATTGAATCAGTTGTTTAATATGGATACATAGGAAATTCCAAAAAAAAATTGTATTAAATTAGAATGAATAAAGATATTTATAACGTGGATTTAAAATGAATGGAAAATATGTGTTGTAATATGGAGCACTAAATAAAATAGGTAAGAAGTGTAGATCTACACAGGTGGGGAAAGCATGGGGTATTCCATATTAAAAAAAAAATGGAGAACAGGAATACCATGGTGGGGAGGGAATTTCTCCAGGCACAATAAACAACCAAACGTGCCCAAGTAACTAATCAAGTTCAGACCGAAAAGAATTTAATTCACTACCAGATGACTCGATGTTGTGTTCCTTTGTTTATCCTCCCGCTGGCCATAGATATTTTAGTTTTTTGTCCACTTTATCGAGGTCTAGTTTACTGACAAGAACTGCGATCCCCATAGACTGAGCTGTTGCCGGAGCAAACTGTCAGCCAGCCAACCCCGTCTGTAAATTAGTTCCCACTCCAGACGATAGAGGTCCGCAGGACAGGACAGTCTGTTGCAATACCCACCGAAATTGTTTGAGATATCGTATTTGACGTTAGTAATGGATGCTATAGCCTGTGACAGAAAATTGTCTATGCTGGTCCAGGTCTTCGCACAGCTCCGATATAATTGTACCTCCCTATGTACGATATTTTGATGATTTTAGCTACATTATTCACCGTTTATTTCAAGTTTCGAGTTTGAATATGGTAATGGCTTATGACGAATAATGCCAATGTAGGTCCTCGTCGTATAGACCCCAATATAACGGCAATATTCGGTATTTTTAAATTTAACAGGACTTTTTAAGGATTTTATTTTTTTTTAAATTTCCAAATTCGTTCCAAATGGTGGAGGGTATTCAAAGTTTGGCCCGGTCGAACTTACTGCTTTTTAACTTTTTATACCCTCCACTATACTATGGAGGGTATATTAACTTTGTCATTCCGTTTGTAACTCCTCGAAATACTCATGTAAGACCCAACAAAGTATATATATTCTTGATTAGCGTAAAATTCTAAGTCGATTTAGCGATGTCCGTCAGTCTGTCCGTCTGTTGTAATCACGCTATCTTTCGAGACAGAAAATTGTCTGTGCAGGTCCACGTCTTCGTATAGCCCCCATATAACGGTACCTCCCTATATTCGGTATTTTGGTGATTTTAGCGTCATTATTCACCGGAATTTTTTCAAATTACGCATTTAGAGTTCGTAATGGAAACTACAGTCTGTGACAGAAAATTGTCTATGCAGGTTCATTCCAAATGGACGGTATTCAAAGTTTGGCCCGGCAGAACTTACTGCTATTTAACTTGTTCATACTAATTTCGGCAAAAGGTGGTTATTTAAGAAGAAAGTATCAATGCAAAAAATGATCACGTTTTGGTATAACCATCATATCATTAAAGCTATTATCGGGGTTTTGTCCATTTGGCCATTAACTTTTGGCCCTTATTTGTTATTTTTTTTTAAGGGGGTAGAAAACCTCTTCTCAAAAAATATTCAATTTTGGAGTAGAACACATCCTTGGTCTTGACCACATTCATCAATTGATTTGGTTAAAAAATTTTAATTGGGCCACTCTGGGGTAGAGAACCATCTTACAGATAATTGTCCACATAGGCATTTATTTAGGTATAGTCCCCACATTAGTGTACCCCAAGTCCACTTTCCCAACCAATGAGTGTTCAGAAAAGAAAATTTTATATTATATTGAATTGGTTGAGTACGTAGATTCGGGATGTACGTCTAAACTCCGAAATGTCAAACTGGGACTCATTCAGTCGGCATTAGAAAATAACACGGGACCGAACATTTGATTAATTGTCATTGATTTATACTATGGTGAAAAATGTGAACTATATGGGGCCTCCAATGCACAATTTAATTAAAAGTAATTATCTTTGACTATTCTGAAATCGTTCTGCCCTCAATTACGAATTTTTTCATCAATATTTATTTCTAATTAGAAATTACTATGGAGTCATAACTTATTTAAATATTGTGACTTATAGTCAGATCTGTGATTTATTGTGCTTCAAAAAATATGCATTAAAGACTAAAAGTACGGGCCGGTAACGCGGACCGAGAGAGCTAGTAATAATAATAATTTACACATTATTTTATATATTATTAATTGTTTTTCTTTCTTTCTTAACTAGCATCTTTATTACACAAATTTATAAATTATATAAATATATATTTTGTTGAGGCCTAACATTAGGTACGGTTTCTAAAAGTTTGAACTCAGAAGTACTCAAAGGCATACCTATATTTAAAGGACATGGTGCAGATAATCAAGTTGGCAACAAGTGTTTCTACAAAAATGTGGAATAGCATCCACAAATAAAATGGTTTAAAGATAGTAACACAAATTTCACCTGAAATATCAAATACGTTTATCCATGTTTAGCATAATAGGCTTGGATTTAATAAATATGACCATAAATAAAAATTCTTTTGCGTTGCAAAATCCTATTATTTTTGTTTTTAGGAAAACAGGGAAAACAATAGCTTCGGAAAGATAGACCAATCCTTACCAGTCCCCTTTTTTTTTGCTTGGGAACATTCTCCATCTGACAAAAGCTCAGTAGAATACTGAACGAATACTTTGTTCCACAACCTGAAACAATCTCCTAGTCTTGCATTTTTTCGATATTATAGATGAAAAATCAGTTATCGTAGCTAAATTTTTATTTTCTGCAGGATATGGAACAGAGCAAAAGAAAACTTTGGCATATCATCTAAATTTTACAACCGTACTTATAAGATTTTCTATTCCACAGTTTCTTTGTCCACTGTACCTTGGGAGAAGGTCAAAACGAAGAGGGAGTTTAGAATTCTGTACTAAAAAGTATTTGGCATACTTTGGGATGAGATAGGAAAGCATGCACTTCAAATAAAAAAATAAGCAATAGGATGTTGATTTTTTCAGAAAATTGGGTAGTAAATTGTATGGTACAGTTACTACAAGGTAGACCTCAACTACGACCCATTTTATTTTTTTATTCATATGGCTTTTCACATACCAAAATGTCTTGACAATATTATTATAGAGTTCCCAACATACAAGAGCAACATCTAGAAGATTTTGGCCATAATATTTATCCCAAATACTACTTCCTTGGGTCAACTGTTTGGCATGCTTAAATTTGTGTTAGTACAATTTTAGTTCAAATTATTAATGAATTTCAGAGAACTCACTCATATAAAAAATAATATTGAAAATAATAACAAGTAAAAACGTCAAGTGCTTCCGGGCCACAATTCAATACCCATTAGCTAAAAATTATATAAAATCGAATATCGGGATGTATCGTTATACGAGGGTTATACTATTTAGTGGACCTGAATCGAACACTTTTTGCAAATAGAGACCACACATACCAAGAACCACAAATTTAAACCTTCAACTGTTTTAGTTGAGAATTTTGGCAGAAACGTTTAAAATCCTGAAAATCTATAGGTATTGTTATATGAACTTCACTGAAGTTATTAATGATTTATTTCTCATTTGGTTCTAGTGTATAAAACATTTTTATTAAATATACACTCAATTTGGTAGTAAATTAAATAGTAACGTAACGATAAAATCCAGCAATGAAGATAGCGTTAAAGGGAAAAAATTGACCGTAACTTGGGTAGATGAACGCCAGTATATTGTATATTGTTATTTAGTATCAAATATATTTATGTATACAAATACTATGGTAGAAACAATTTTTGGTATTTATTTTAATTATGTGATACACTTTTATTTATTAACTACGATATTTCTTGTTTAAGAATTCCAGATTCTTCTAATAACTGCTGAAATCCATTGGGAATACGTCCTTCGCCCAGTTCATGGCTCCATTGTTTGTACTGAAAATTAGAATATGTTACAGGTACGTCAGAACTGACCCGAACATCAAATCCATAAAATTGTTGTGTACTGACTTACTCGCTCCAATTCCGCTCTCAGGGCTAGTACAGCTTTTTCCCGATCAGCTACCAACTCTTCCAAGTACTGATATCTTAACTTTTTACGAGCACGGCACTCTCGGGCGCTTTGCCTACTACGTTCTGAAAGAATAGACATTTAATAAGTCTCGAGGATCTAGATATGCAAGTATTAATATACCAAGTTTAGCTTTGATGTCGACTTTTTCATTCGAAGCCTTACGTCCTGGTTTGCGTCCACGCTTTCCTCCTTCCTTGCGTTCCTGCAAATTTACAAAAACATGTATTATTAAACCACCCCTATATCCAGGATGTTATTTTTTTAACCCCCTTATACTTCCAAAACGAATTTACTGCGTAGTTTACAAATTTGTACTAAATAAATTGAATAGACATGTATTTAGGGAAAAAAAATAGTTTATAAAATTATGTTGATTCTACTCATACAAATCATTTCGTTTTCAACATTTCCACAAAACGAAGCATTGAAGAATTCCCAAATTTAAATTCAACATACCGACAAGTTTGGCTCTTCTGAAATAATCATTTGCATATCTTCGCAATCCATTTTAAGATAAAAATCTCTTTATGTATTAAATATTCACTTATAAACAATGTCCAAAGAAAATGCGTCTTATCATAACAAAACAACAAAACACAATAACAATGAGCATTTGGTGCTTACTATTGTGGAGAAAGACATATGTCAAAAATGTCGAAATGTGGGGTTCACACAAATGGATATGATTGGTATGTTCACACGACGCTTAAGCACATCATTCGCTTCATGGTAGAAGAATACAGGTGGATGCCTCAACGCTTGGGAACATTGATATGTCAAAAAAAAAATATTTTATTTTTTCAAAAATAAATAGATTTTTTAAGTTTTCTTTTACGACGTCATTCGGAGGTTATTATAATAAGCGTTTTTCGACAATTTTTACAAATTTAAATAAATTTTCATTCAACATATTCAATTACAAAATTGGTTTGACAGTTCATTGTACCATTATTCGCTCCCTGAATTGTGTACATGAATTAAGGTGTGAGTTCATAGCTTGGAATCATGGATCGGCATATTAATGTCAAAGTATATAATATTCACATGTATGAAAAACTCAAAACAATAAGAAGAACTAAAAGCACGCATACACAAATTTTCATCTGAAAAATATATTATTTCGAATGAGTTTAAAGCTATGAGAAAGAATAAAAAATTACGTGGCCAATAAGTTCATCTACAAGTCTTAAACGACCGATTTGGGATGCTGCTCGTTAGAAATTTACAGTGCCTAAATACTCTAATACCACCAAGAACAGTCACGCCAGTCAAATCTGGCGAATAGCTTTAATGCGCGTCTGCAATGTACGCGTCTTTCAATCATTGATTTTGATAAAATTTTGTTTTTATATTTTAAAACAATACATAAACAAAATTGGCAGAAGTACGGCACACTTAAACAAATTATAATCAGCTGGTAGCTCTACCTTACCTTTTTATTGTACCGTGGTTGTCACTATGGCCCAATTATAAGGTCGACCAGAAGGCGAATTCCAAAAAA